GGACCACTACTGTAAAAGACTAAGAAAAAGAAATTATACTAAAGGGGGGTAGGGGAAGTTTTTGTTGGTTGTTGGTAAATGGGTGGGGGTGGGGGGAAGGGGGAAGGTTGGAGCACAGGGCAGGGATTGGACACAGGGGAGGGGGGCAATATACTTGGAGGGAGAGGGAAGTGGAGAAACGGGCCAGATGGGAGAACAATTGGGCATGTTTGAATGGGCCAAATGGGACAGAGATAAAGGACGATATATGTACAGCCTTGGAACTCCAGGGTTCTGAGATACAGGGATTGAGTCATGGTTGGAATGGGCGGGGAATCGTGTTAAGATGCTTGGCTGTTTTTTGAATCTTGGTTTTCCTTGCATTATAATATAGAGTAAACACTGGAGGGGGAAAGAAAGGAATAGTCAGAAACATCACACTAGAAGGCTTGTAAGTCCGTCTTCTGCCTCTAACTGATTGGAATACCTAAAATGGGGCTACAGCGTACCCAGTGAACGAGGCTTCCTGCGGAGCCTCTGCAATACATAAATCTATAGGTAGAAACCAGAACCACATCCAGATCTCCAAAGATGAGAAATCTCCACTTGAAAGGATGAGCTGACCAGCCTGGAGCAGTGAGAAGAACAAAAGATATGTCTCGAATGAAAGACCTACGGGAAAAATATGAAACAATGGAGGCAGATGGACTGTTACTACAGGAACAAACGGGTCACTTCCCTAGGAGACAATGAGGCAGTTGGTCGGGTCCTACCAACACAGGCCCCCTTCCAAGACGGAGACTTGGTGGAAATGCACGCTCGGATTGGTGACCACATACATCACCGATGGGGAGAAGTGGGGTAAAGGCAGCAATGAAGCGGCGAGCTAAGCCTTACAATATTCAGTGGGCTCCGGTGGACCCGGTTAGGGACCTAGTTGGCAAGCAGTGTGAGGAGATCTGAGGACTCCTGGGCCCAGAGTTAGTGACGTGGCCATGGAGGACTCAAGTGGAGAATGGAGCTGCTGGCTGATGGGAAGAGAGGGCATGTGTACAAGAACACCCACACTTGCAGATGGTACCCACGTGACCAGGACCAGATGACTGGATGATCAGAGCTCAACCAGGAGAAGAAAGAAGAAGGGGGAGGGGGAAAATAGATTGAGCTGATTCAATCTGATGAACTTGACCTATACCTACGAATGCAGTGACTCAAAAGAGGCAACAAAGCCTTACAGCAAGAAACATTCCCACCCCCTTCACACACAGAGTAGACAGAGATGGGCAACTTGGACATTGGACACCCAAATGGAGAGGGAGGGACTACA